GGTTATATGTATATAAAAACCACAAAAAATCAGGTTCACTGAAGCAATTGAACTTTATGGCTTCATAATGGTTAGGTTTAGGGAAAATATAGCGTTAGGCAATGTAGCACTGGTTTGAATCCTAATGCCTTCCTTAAAAAAATTCTTTTTGGTTTAAGTTTTCGAAAACTTTTTAAGTTGTCCTGCACATAATATGTACATGAGAGGCCTTCTGTATGTATATCAGTGACACTGTATATATATGTCCATATATGGGACACGTAGAACAGATCCTTGTCAAATTCTAGGAACTCTCCAATGTCATAAATGTACAAATTGCAATGTCCAGCTAATGTTGAACCATCAAATCGCAACATTGTTGTCCAACATTATTCAAAATATGGCTGAAAGTTGGAAAACATGAATCAACATTGTTGGGAGTGTTCAAATGAATCAAAAAGCACAACATGAAGAATGCCTGCAGAGGACCCTAACACAGTATTGTTGGACCGACATGTTTTGTTTTTTGTTCAATATTTTACATATCATATCAAGTTGTCCAATCAACCATCAACGATTTTATCCATCTGTAAACATATTGATGCTTAACACTTACCTGTTACAAAATATAATCCATGTTTGGCCTTGATTTTAAGTAAAGGTTTCATAGCTTGTCTAATCTGATAGACTGTAGAATCTACTAAATCCCCAGTAATAACAACAGCATCAGGACTTAGACCATTACATAGTTTCACAAGGTCTTCTAGCTTAGTTCTTCCAACCGTACTACCGACGTGGACATCAGATACTTGAACAATTCTGAACCCTTTGAATTCACTGGGAAGATTTTTGATGGGAATTTCCAAATGGTTTATATTTGGTTTTCTGGAGGCATTATTCACTCCATACAAACTCAAAATGCATGAGAAGATGAGTATTAGAATGATTTTCGATCGTGTTCGAGATAAGCGATTTAGATGACTTAACGAAGCAAGTTTTGTCCAGGATAGACACCACAMAACKACATCAATCACAAAAGTTGTTGTTGATACCAATATTGTTATCCCAAAACAGATGTATGATAAAATAGTAAAGAATGACGGTTCCTCTCCAGCTAATATGATACCAGTGAACACACTACACTGTGAAAGAACAAGGACTGTGGCCACAATAAAAACCACAAAACGCTCCAAGACAGACGGCGATCGAAATAACGGTGGACAGATTTTAATCCAAGCATACCTTGCTATAAAAAATAATCCAGATTGAAAATGTAACAGCCACTGTGCCACCAAAAGTCGGTATTTGAGTTTTTCATTAATTGATGTAAAGTAAGTTCCGATAGCTATAAAGATATTCAATCCTATCACTGCTGCAACTACACACAGAGTCTTGTCAAGGTAGGCCGCCATTTTCTTACAATGACGTAATTGGGATACCTGTGCTATTCTTACTCAATCACTTTGATTTCCTTTGCTGAAATACTCCAATTTCGAGTTCTGGTTTGCTCTGTGTTAGCCTCAAAACCAAGTAACATATTCTTTTGTTTCATTGATAGCTCGAGAAAACGCATGGAATTTTGTAAAGAAAGACAATGAATTTGACTTTTGAAATCTCACAGACTTTTATTCTCACAATAAGGACAATAAGGTATATTTTGCGCACAAATGAGGCTAACACAGAGCATTGGAGAATTCGAAACTTTAGTATAAGTACTTTGGGAGGTCCTGATCCCAATAAGGCACCAATCTTTTCTAAAAGACATTTAAGGGTATTTTATGCAAATTAGCTATGACATCATCAAAATTTGATAAAATACCTATTATAAATTATTTTTGTGCAAATGCGTGAAATATATTTATACTACAAAATAGGTGATAAATTATACAAATTCTATTGTATAATCAACACTATTTAGTAGTAATTAGTACTATTTGTTTCAAGCTTTAAGGACCCTTTAAGTGCGAGAGCACTCTACAATTAGCAAAGAAATTATCTTTGAGGAGTACCTTACCTTATGTCATCCTCGGGAACCCAGGGGTAATCTTCTGTCGTTCGTTCCTCACTCCCAGAAAAAATACTAATATTTTTTTTTTAATATTTTTTCTGGGAGTGAGGAACGAACGACAGAAGATTTCCCCTGGGTTCCCGAGGATGACCTTATGTGTAAGTTATAAAAACAATTTTCCCAGAATGCATTGTACACATTAAATTGTATCTTGTTTTTATATTTTTGATAGTTTTTAACATTTTATCTCTCATTTTATCTCAATTTCATTATTGTTATGAGCCCCTTTCCATCAATGGGTCTTGTTTTTTTTTTTTGTGTATGAAAACATGCTCAATGATAAAATTGTATTTAGGGGACTAGGGGGAAAAATCATTTGAAATTTTGCTGGAGTGATGGTCCAATGATTTTATAAACGAGTAGTTTAATAACACCAAAAACGGACTGTGAAAGCTTTCATCCTGCTTTCTTGTTTGTCAGCTAAGTCACTTTACTAAAATGTTCTGGAATACTCTATACACTTTATTGATTACTATTTACAGCTTGATTTGCAAACAGGTAGCGGATTAATTGATCATTRATTGATTTTTGTGTCGGGCTTCCTGAAATATCACGCATTTCGAATAGTCCAGTTTCGAGATCTTACTATTGCAGTCTTAACCTCGAATGCATATATGATATATTCTTTTATTCAGCAGAGAATCGATTCTATTGTAACGCAAACACTGTGTACAGCCGGAAACAAGAAACCTTTATGCATGATTGAAGAAGCTAAGCTTGCACAAAAGAGAATTCGAAACTGGAGTATTCCTCGATGAAGTCATCYAAACCATCTGAAAATATAAAAAAATAACAAAATAAGTCCGTGTTTCACATAAGCTGACCTCAATGCACTGATTTCTTTCTTTTTTTTCTTTGCCTAAGTAGCTTTGAATTGACCGCATGAAGGCTCGGCGTTTGAAGAACCGGGCATGATCTTTAAAGTTTGTATTGCCAAGAACTGTGAAAAAGCAGTCTTCTTTACGAAGTCGTTTTATAGGTCGTTTATATATTACGYGACTGTAATTGAATGTCCAAATTGCATCCAAGAAACTTCTCCATATTCGTATAGTTTATAAGTTATAAATATCTTTTTTCATGCTTTCTGATTGTTTTTTGAATATATCCTAAAAAAAGCACTAAGACTGACGATAAGTGACCCTCCCCCAAACTAGATCGTCCATAAAAATACTCGGTTTTCGGAWGTACGCACGTGAGCCCGCAGTAGATAGTAGGCATAGACCTTTTCAGAAATGCAAAATCATGGTTCATTTTTTGTGGTCTAGTTTCAGTACAAACAATGCCTTATTTCGCAGCATAAAGAAAAGATGTTTGTACCGAATCGAGCCAACAATGCAATGCAAACYGCTATAGGTGGGCGGCAATGTTTACGTTTGGGAGGGACAGGAAGCCCGACAAAAGGGGAGGCTACGAAGGAGACTAACGTTTTAGCTAATTTGCATAAAAGTCAAAAAATCGATTTTCAAGACACAAGAAAATCAAGCCCATAAATGAAAATAACTCATACCTGTTAACAATTCCTGCAAATTTGAAGGCAATTGGTTAAATATTTCAAGAGATATCAAGCGCCGAGTTTGCAAGATTTTCTAAAGAAATGACCTTGGTTGGCATTATTTTGCCAAYCACTGAATGTTTTCTATAGATTTTGTAGTTTTGAAATGCCGATATCTCGAAATATAAAAAGGCGTTTGCCCTAAAATTTCCAGGTTTTGTTGACATTTAAATCTAGAATTATATGAGTTCAGATTGCTTAATTTTTTGAATTTTATATTTTGGATGTAAACAAACTACGTCATCGTACGCCCACCTATTGCAGAAAAGACTTTTTACTCATGCCCTCATGATGTCTCACGTCATGACYKGGTGCCTTTCAACTACTACCTTCCATGTGCTTCCCAAAATATAGACGGGAAAAGATGACCACAATTTTCACGTGACTTCAATGAATCTTACCTTGACTGTCGCTACTYTCAAATCCAAGATATGTTGCCATAGAAACTTCATTAACACAATCATTAGCGATAGCTGTTGCCATGGAAGTCTGCTGATGCTCTGCGTCATCACCATAAGACGTCGCTAGTGTTTCTCTTTGAGACGGTACGTCACAGGACTTAAGCTCCCTGTTCACGTCTTCCAGAGAAAGCTGTGGGAAGGACGACTGCGCATGTGCAGTATTGCAGTAGCCGTATTGACGTGCTTCGAAGGTGACGTAATTTCTTGAGTTGACTGGTAAGAGATGAGTAAGGGAGAGATCTGTGATTTGGTGATATGAGGGTCCACTGACAACCGGCCAGGGTCTTTCTTGATTAGCACTTGTTTCCAGTGATTGATGARCTGTATCACTAGCCACAAAATGTTGCGAGCTCAAATTCGTTTGTAACGCACATCTATCAAATGTCACACCTTGGTTAACTATTCCTTTTTGAATGCTGTCCTGTTTGGTTCTACTAGGCCCTGCATAATGGTTCATACCACAAAATATACCAGTGCCCGAGGTCTTCTTTTGATGTTTAGTTTTAGCTTTGTTGCTTTGGTTTGTGGCATTTTTTTGTAGTCGTTTAACTTGTTTACGTTTAGTGACACAAGGATCTGTTTATGGAAACAGTAGAGTAAAGAACTGATAAGTACCAGGCCAAAAACAAACGCTTGATAGCCAACCCCTGTCACCCAACATTAAGGGCTAGATTGATTTGTTATGGTAAAAAACAAATCGAAATCGTTTTTCTACGGTCTGTACGCTTATCGACAATTCAAATGACGCCAGAAAATGATCAAAACTCAAGTGGAACCACGAGCGTAAACGTATACAGACCATAGAAAAGCAATAATACAGATAAACTGAGAAATATTGTCCCAGCAGCTATGATAATGAGACCGAGATAGTTAACCACGGAGACATATAGCAGAAAAGGAGCGGGCGTTTAAAGGGCGTTTTAGCCATTGCCGTGTCAATTTTGTGCATTTTTCCATTCTAGTGTTTGACATCAGTATATGATATTCTGAACATTAGTTTAGGACATTATCGATTGCATAATTAGAGGGATGTGTTTTCGCTTGCACGAAAGCACCGAAACGATAATTAAACCCTTGTAAATCCACATAGTTCATTTAATATCCAATGCAAAGCTCTACCTGGAACAGAGACTTAGATATATATGTCCTGATATCTCTATTATTGCCAGAAGTACATACTTCTGTTATTGCCAATAATGAAGGTCATACTGGTTAAGAACTGCTTTAACTTAACCACTTTGACTTTTATCTCTAAGACAGATCATGTACACTTCTAAGAGAAACAAAGAGCAGGCCTTGTTTCGCTTTCATATCAATAGGTATTGTCTCAATACAGAATATCAATACTAGACCTGTCCTTACAGTAGTTGCTATTTGATACCATCATTTGGAGAACGAGGAACAGTTTTCGATAATAAATAAAAAGTTTGTCGRGAGGGTGGTAATCGTTTGACGGCGGTGATTGCACGACCCAAGGTATTCTCAGTCTTAATTTGTAAGTAATAGTTATATCAGATCGTTTTTGAGTAACTAGATCTTCTAGAAGTTACTTTCGGACGTGAAATCTTTAAATAGCGCGCAGTGGCAGATTAAGAACGGGGGATGGCTTTAAATGTCAAAAAACAATTTATATTAAAAGAATAGATTTAGGACAGTGGAAAATGAGATTTCTTTCAGGTTCATTGGTTCAATGTGTGTTGTTATAGGGTTACTACCATATAGCATTGGTTGTTATTCAGAATAAGTCCCTGCATTCAGATTCAGATGTTTTTCCCTTCTTATTTACTGAATTAACGTACCATAATTTTTCATGTTTTCTTTGGAAATCTTAGAGAGAGGGGGTGGCTATCCACCGAACCTTTGCTTTACAAAATTCAAACAAAGCAAGTTATTCATCTGAGTTCTAAAAAGTATCGAACCCAACCGAGCCTTTTCGCTAGTCAATTAAAACAAAGGACCTTGCAATGGTTTCGAACTAATAGAGCCAGTTTCAAAAAGGAATAAACGTTACGTTCAAGAAGTACACAGATCAACGCTGATTCACACAATATCACTGCCTGTGCGTAAAAACGTAATGGAAAACGATGGTTAGGTTTCCCAATGTATATTCATAAAGCCAATATCAAAAGCCACTGTCAGTAATGACACAGTTTATTGACCGATACACGTCTGAAAATACAAAATCATTCCAACGAGCCTTATTGTCAAGATTTGTGAAAACAAAATGCCTATTACATAAAATGTTGACCTCCCATGGTTTCGGTTTCGGTCCGAAAAASCATTATATGACGTTCATTCGCGTGTGTTTTTTTGTAAATGATTAGAGCATAACGCATTTTTATGTGATAATGGGAGTAAAAGAACATGGAAATGACAATCGCGTGAGGACATACTACGCTTTAACAACTTCAAATCCTTTTTCAAAAAGTTTGTCGGGTAAAATTGCAAAACAGAGATTGCATGACGAGGAGAATCGTGGGTTATACTTGATGGCAATAATAACTGACTCATTCAGTAAGATAGTCTGTGGTTAACTACATCTAGTCTCTTCCAAGACAATGCGAACCCAATAATCGCCGTTCGCCATACAACGTTTTGTATGAAGTGTATCAATAAACMTAGCAAAGTTTGTATAAAAATAACATGTGGTGTGTGGTTTATCTAGTATGTTTTTTTTAACTAAAGCAGGTGATATTTTCAGTATATACTTGAAGTAAATGAACTGGGCCAAAATTTCAGCAATTTGTTCTTTWCTATTGATATAACAAATGATTCAAATATGTTCATTGAAGATACAAATGGTTCTATTGAGTCCTTTACTGACATGGTAGCTATATGGAATACAGTTCTAGTAAACACGCTCAGTAGTACGGTAAAAGGGTGTGGCATGCACACATCATAAAACTTTTAATAGTAATGAAGTTAAATGAAATGATATATTTTGAAACCACCTTAATGGTTACTCTATGACGCGAGGACTGAATGCCGTGAACCAACAATAATCAAATACCAACTAATATATTTACCACCTAGTATATTTACCACCTAGTATATTTACCACCTAGTATATTTACCACCTAGTATATTTACCACCTAGTATATTTCACGCTTAGTTTATTCACTTTGCTATCAAACAAAGACACAAATTGAAACTCAAAACACGTTCTAATGTAAATGGTGGTCTATTAGATGGAACTTGTGTTGATGGGTGTGGCATTTTATATCAAATAATTCACGCATTTCCACTCATAACTATCAAGTTAGATGGCATATAATAGAGTGCAAACGCATTGTAAGCACCCTATTAATATACAAAGTGCTGCATTTTATTTGTTTAGAAGAAAATAAAAACAGATTGAACTTATATCGCTGGAAATTAAGAACTACCCTGAAATGCTTCTTATGTGAATGGTGCTTAAAAAGAAAATTTCAGCGTGCCATACTGAGGTTGTCAATATAATACGCGGGGTTTAGCTGTATGCTAAGGCTTTGTTTCACGGATAATGGAGTTTCTCTTTCATCTTCTGTGTTTATCATGGTTTCTATAACGTGGTATTTAATAAACAGTTTTTAACCCATTCCTATGGCAACCACTGTTATTAAAAGAAGATCGACTATAGATATCAATAGCAATCGCCATCTAAACGAACCCCGCAAGACAAGCCGCAATTAACAAAGACAATAGTAAACGCGGAAGTAGCTGAAATGATCACTAAAAACACAACTGAATATGGACAACGACATAATAGCTAAAAAAAATTAACAATAGACACATGTGGATCACGCTTACAAATAATAAAGAAAATGAAACATTTTAAAAGCTGACTTTCGTTATTTTGCTTTATCTAAAATCATCTTTTGTTGTAACATATCTTCTTTGTCAAAGTAGATTTCAAGATATTCTGACATAATTAACCACTTGGAGGGAAAAATACAACATCAACAAACTTTCTTTGAATTTAGCTTGTGAAGTACAAATAATTAGTACGAACCACAATGAATGTCAGTTCAGTCTACAATTATGTGTTTATTTGCATTCTTCTTACTAAGAGCCAACGGCAACGCACAGTTCTATTTTATGATAACCAGTGGTTTTATTTTAGSAASTAAACTTTGTGTTATGCACTATGAGTATGGAGAACTCAACCTTTATTGACATAGTTCAGTGTTCGGGTGAATTTGTCAAAACTCTAATGGCATAGTTTCTGTATCCAACAGACGATAAAAAACGCTAAATATTSTTTTACTTAGAGCTCAATATAAACAAAAAGACTGATCTTAGTCTTAAATCAACCGAAGATTCATCTTTAAAAAGTTGACTTAAGGTTCAGTAATTGGGCGGGGCCAGTCCGCAGGCGGGTAAGCTGTAGTTCTATGGGATATTATGTTATTTATGCGCATTTSAACCTTCCCATCTAGAATGTTAACTGGTAATGATGCCTTTYCTCTCGCGTGAAGYTCGACGATTTTGAAAAGTTTTTAGTCAATTACATTCTCCTTTCCTTTTAAAGAGAGACATGATTGACAGACATGATTGACAGATAACTGTTAGCAATATAGGATTATGAAAGACTTACCCTGCTTAAACCTGAATACCCTGTACGGCTGCTGGCCATTCTTTTCTTCTAAATTGTTTGCCACAGTGATCTCTTCGATTTCGGCCATTTTTCKGATTGCGCAYCKGAAGCGTGTTTTCCAGACGGAAGGGTCTGTTCGTTCACCTGGTTTATACCTACCAGTAAACTCAGCCCACAGCTGAAACACCTTTGCATCTTTCTCTAAATCAAAGTCTGGACTGTCAACTCTTGTCCACGGCACTCTGAAAGTGTTCTCGTCCACCCAGTACAGACCTGGCACCAAACCACTGTTGATTTGATTTCGAAGCCAGTTTGGAAAACGCTTGCGACCACTATGAGGCTTTCCAGACCAGAACATGGTTTTCAAAGTTTTCAAAGTAGATGACTGTTCCCTTTCGAAGGTTTCTGCTTTCTAATATCACTGACTTTCGAACTTACATTTATCGCTTGTTTTATGGCACACCATGTTTTAATTCATTCTTTTGTAATGACGTAATGAGCTATATATATCATGCCCATATAATAAAGACTATCAATAAGAAGCACCTCTTGACATTTGATCGACGTTTAGTTCCTTGTTAATTGTAGGTTTTGTCGGTTACTGTGCCCCTAATGTGCTTCAAAGAGGATCGCAACTAACAATAAGTCAATATATCGACTGTAGTGCCTCCTAWTGATCGGTCAATAATAAATGCCGTTATACAAATGGGAAGCTATCCTGTCATCATCCCTTAATTTTCATATATAGTCTTCGAATGAACCGTTAGAACAGGCACAAAACCAATAGCACTGCATTGATAGCCGAACCCCGACTGATAATAATATAATAATATGTGGTATTTATATAGCGTTATATAGCGTATAGAGTTCACAGGCGCTTCACATGTATACATCATTTCACACGGACCGCTGTTTAAGGCGCAATTGGCAGCCACGCGGCTTACAATCATGAGGGGTTAGTAATTAGTATGGGTTAGTAGTAAGGCCTAGCCACACACACCGGGAATCATTCCCTACTCTTATGCGAACAGTGGTGTGGGTTCTTTAACGTCCCTCTAATACAGGTTAGTGAGTGAAGTGTAGAGAGACGGGACCTCCGATTTTACGTCGTTATCCGAGAGGACGCGAAGATCTTACCATTTAATAATTTAATTCTTTTAATAATATTAAAGCTATATTAATATTTTCACAAACCTGAACAACTTATTGGAAAGAGAATGATTATCATTTTGCTTTSAAAGACCTTATAAACTATCACATTTATAAGAAAAACACGTCGTAACTTTCGAGCCGCTTGTTCCTTTTGATAGGCGTTCATTTTAATATTCCACATTTAAATGGTAAAAAAAGACAACTGTWTATTATGTGATCAACTTTATGAAGTTTATAAGCAACTAGCTTTAACCAGAGTTAGTAGATAGATTAGTTTCTAAATTTAATTTTGCTTTTAAACTCAGATCTTTAACTAATAGATTCAATTATTCCGTGCGTCCGTTCTCTAATAGATACATAGATGACGTCAAAATGTGACCAAAAAAAGTACGTCACGAAGTCGAATGACATGACGAACACACGCACGACATTTCGAACGAATTGCTACGGGATGGTGTTAGTGGTGCGTACT